CCGCCCGCCGGAATCGCTTTATGTAAATGAAGCTCAACTCGCAGTTTGCAGCGCGCACCGCCCGGGGAAGGGGGGCGGGCGGGGCGGGGGGCCTTCGGGGATCCACATTACACAGCAACAAAGCGGAAGGTTAATTTGAAACTCACAGCCCCGCCGCTGCTCGGCTCCCCGGGCAAAGCCTGACATCTACAGTCGTGCCGGGCGCAGGCCGGGCTGCTCACGGTGGCCGCGCCCGCCCGCGGGGACCTGGGGACACACACGGGGCGCGCGAGGACCCGGCACTTGCTCCGGGGAACACGGGCCTCGGGGCAGGCCGGGCCCGCACTCGCACAGCCCGGGAAAGGGGACGCCCTGGCGGCTCGGCCTGCACCACCCCGGGAACCGGGCTGGCGGGAACAAAGCCCGGTCCTCCCGGAGGCAGTGACCCCTGGCTCTTCAAAAGTCAGAGGCCGGCTGCGAATCGTCGGGTGAGAAGAAAGGGACTCGCCCTGGGCCACAAAAAGCAGCCTGGGGCCTCAGAACCGGAACCAGCGGGTCTTCGGGCCCGTCCACGTCAGAGCCAGGCCACTCGAGCATGGGGACATTAGCCAATGTGGACAGGAATTTTATTTGAAACACACACCCATCCTATTAACTGCTTTACAGAGCACTTCTGTTTTTCAGCTGCAGAAACTTACAAAAAAACATCCCTTGCTCTCCATTCAAAGTTTAAGGCTAGTTTGTGAAGGGAGAAAAGGAGAGAAGGAACAGTGCTAGGGAACAGAGGTACAAAAAAAGTAACAAGAAAAGGAGCCATAGTTTACAATTAGGTAGTTTAAGGAGCAGCACTTTATAAAGCCGTATCATTTCAGAGATGGCAGGGATCATGCCCTTCCCAGGGAAAATCTACCACCAGGGTCACATTGAGTGCGGCCACCCCAGTTGGTCAAAGCAATTGCTGCACACTTATACACCTCCAAGTTCACGTTTCCCGCTCCAGTGTGCGAAGGCAGCGCCACAGAAATCTCACCGGAAGTTCCCTGTCCTCTCTGTCAGAATCCCACCCTCAGACTGAATCTACTCCCAATTCTCTCAGCATAGAAAGAAAGACACCTGCTTTTTCCCTTTCTGAAAGCCACCCACCCGGGCTGGCCTTACAGCCGGGAGAGTCTTTTCCTACTGCACAATAATGAACCATGCAAGTGTTAGAAATATAATAAGCTCACCAGGCGAAGAGCAGTATGTATGGAATCGTATTAGCATTAAGCACACACTAACAGAGACAGAAAGGGATGCTTGGCTGATGAAAACCACCATGTCCCCGTGTAAAAGGCATTTTGCACAATTTGGATTCAAATTAATGTAAATATCTAACCTGTTAGCTACAGACAACCCCTCTCTCTACATTTTAGTACAGAAAACAGACAGGGGGAAATTTTTTTTTTTTTCAGCTAGAGCCCTGAGAGAAAAGATTGCCTCAAGGGAATCATGTCCGATTAGGGACAAAGGAGGGCACAAGCCAAATTCAGTCACATGTGAGAGCGTGGGGGCAGGATGGCGGGGGGAGTGGAAAGCCCAAAAGGAAAGTGGTGGATGATTTTTGTAAACCAGAGTCCAGTCACTGCAGAGCTGTTTCCAGGCCGCCTGACCTCGGGCCCTAGAACAGGTGGTGTATTTTCAAAACACACTGTTATTTATGTTAGCCACATGAGTCAGGAACACCTTAAAGAAAACCAATTAATAATTTAATTGAAAAGGGGACTATGAATAATACATGAAAACGATGATGCTAGCAATAACGCAGGCAATGTGGCCCACCCAGCAGAGATACCCCTGGAAATCTCTTCAGGAAAATGGAAGACTCCAGGCACCCTGCTTCTCACCTGGAAGCAACCCACAGGCTGTCTGATAAAGACAACAGGAAAACCTTTATACTCCCAGAAAATCTAATGCTGCTGCTTTGTCTTAACTTTTATTAACAGGGGACAACCTCGTAATCTGGTGACATCATGAACCGAGGAGGGCCACGATAAATACTTTCAATAAAACGAAAGCTAGAAAACCCCAAGAACAACGTCTTAGTAATCTGGGAGGATGAAGAGGTTTTGGCAGAGCCCCAAGGACAACTGCCCTAAGCCAGCCCCTGTCCTAGACCATAGGTGACTGGCCTCCTGGACCTCAGAGGCCTGACCAGCAGGGCTGAGACTGACCTGGGTGCCTTTTCTTTATCTTAATCCTGCAGCAGCTACAGGCCTGGTGAGGCCTACTCAAGCTTGCCTTTGTTCCTGGCAAAAAATTAACAGGTAAGTCACAGCCAGGTAATCTATGGCCTCTGTACCATTTATGACTATAAAGGACTGCACAAAAGCCAGGGGCTACCTTGATGAAACTTATTTTCATCATTTACAAAAACAAGACCTCTTTAGAGGGGAATCGGCAACTTTCCCATTGCCATAAGGAACTCACAGTCCGGTTTCTCTGAAATACACTCTGCAAATTCTATCCTCTTCTTCCCAGAGCAGTTGCCTGACAGGAAACCCAGGGACTACCCAGCAGTGACAGCCTGACATCCTCCTCGCTGCATCCTGACCGCTGTTGACACTTAAACACACCCTCAGAAGAGGCCATTCTTCCCTTGGAGTTCTCCATACCCAGTCTCGTCTCATCTGGAAACTGTAATTGGCAACAGTCAAAAGGGTAAATATTTTAAAATAAATCAGGGAAAGCTAGCTAGCCCCTTCTCTACTCCTCCCCTTACCCATCCTCCAAACCAGAGGCCTGCCCCCCAATGCTTAGCTGGCTGCTAAATTATATGGATCCAACCCAGTCAAACCTGCTTGCTCTCACTCTCTCTCAATTTCTTTCTCTCCCCTTTCACTTCAGCAAAGGTAAATATGATCTCTGAGAGACGACATAGTGGGTGTCAGCATTCTGGGCTGTCTTCACTGCACGCTTGGGTTTAGGTAGATTCATCAATTCTTCCAGATCCTTCTATTTTTACTAAATTAGACAGCCACATTGATTTAAAAACTTGTGCTTAAATAATCTAGAGGTTTTAAAAAAGAAAACCCTGAAGAGGGGGAGAAAATAAAACTATACATGCAAATGTCTCTGAAATGAATAAGGACCCATTTGGAACTGAATAGTGCTCCATGGCCTGAGTTCACCCCGTGATTTTGAGGCCATTTTATTTAGGGGCCTGGTACCTGCTGGGTGGCCAGGCCCTGCTGGGTATGGTACAGAACGCAGGCTTTCCTGGGGACAGGCTCTGCCGGCCTGCACGGCCAGTGGAGGCCAGAGCACGAAGGCCTACACACAGATGTTTGGACTCACATTTCTCTGACACAAACCTCAGGCCTCCACATATCGGTGCAGTACTAATTCCACAGATTAATTTTTACCTCCAAATCATAAGTGGTCAGTTATCTAGTTTACTTACCCACCCTTCCCTGCTTGAGCCCTACACTATCATTGATATACACAAGAAAAACACAAATGAGTAACCTTTAAAAAAAAAAAAACAAACTGTGATTTGAAAGAGTTTTTCCCTAATAATTGGCAAAGCTCAAGTCTAGAGAAAGCAAAAACACAGAAGTTGCCCTGAAAACAGCTCTCAATGTTAGTAGACAGCTCTCTCTATTTCTTTAAAAAAAAAAAAAAATTATTTCTGAAAGGGCAAAGAGAATTTGCCATGCAAGACTTTTATACCCAAGGGGATTCTTACATTTGTGTTTCTAAACCTTGAAATTGAGAATTTTAATGAAAAGGCAGACAGATGCTTAAGGACATCATTGCAATCAGGTCCATACATTATAGGAGAGAGTGGCGCTTTGTTTGGATCCAAGAAAAAAAGGAGGTGGACTCCTATGTTGTTCCTGGGCTATCCCCAACTGTCTGAAACATCCCTTTACACTGGCTGGCCTGACGCAAACCCCTGAATTCTTGGAGGGGAAGCAGGTTGGAGGCAGAAAAAAGGAAACAGGAAACAGGAGAGGAAAAGAAAAGGGGGAGGGGATATTGCCTGTTTACACAAACCCTAGTTGTTGTTGTTTTTTAAATAAACCCTAGTTTAAAAAAAAGCATTCTCAACACAGTCCATGCCACAGTTTAATGCCACAGTCCATACCAACAGTTCTTCCACTCCTGAGCTCTCCCAGTCCATCATTCAGTGGTGTATCAGAAGCACAACAGCCACCGGTCAGATTTTTTTTTTTTTTTATGAAGAATTTCATGTAGATTTGTAATGCTTCCCTATCAAGCAGCCACTTCCAAATAGGGGCAGGATACTATAAGATAAACAAAAGATGACTCTTTCACGCTTTTCCCCAAATAATTCTCCAATCCCATTTTCTTATCTTTTCATTGTAGTCATTTCTGTTCAAAATCTGTGCTAATCTGACTTCACAGCCCTGAGCTGAAATTTCACATATCCTCCAAGTCAGTCAGTGTTTTAGAATTTGGATTTCTATTGAGGCTGTTCCAATCGCCAGTGAGGCCTACGGTAAAATGTGCTTCATGCTGTTCCGTTTGTCTCTCTGCAGACAAATAGAAACTGTGAAATTTAAAGAATGGATAAAAAAAAAATCTAAAACAAAGAGGTTAAAAAAATAGGACAAATGTTTTTGCTTTTGTGTCTCCCTGGAGCAATTGTTTGGGGAAGTCTGCATTGACAATAACCATGAGAAGGCCATCTAAAGGCGATGTGCTCACAAGGGGACTCCTTGCCTGCTGCCTTTGGTCTGGGAGAAAAAGTACCTTAGCTCCGTTCTCCAGGAACAAAAGGCCAGGGCCACGGAAGGGGGGAGAGGTTACGGGGCTTTCACAGGGAGCCAAGTGTCAATGCTGGTTCATTTTTCACCCGTCTTAGTTGGAAAGCAGCTCAGGGAACTTCCTAATGACTGCTTTTCTCTCTCTCTCTCTCTCTCTCTCTCTTTCTCTCTCTCTCCCATTTCTAAACTTAAAGAACAAAACAATAATATTTTTTTGAACCTAAAACCCACCATCCTATTAGAGGAAAGCCTCCGGGGCCTACACAGTCAGCTTTTCCTCCTTCTTTTGCCCCACCTTACTTTTTTTCTTAACGGGGGTTCCAATTGTAGATTACATGGAAATAAGAAGCACTGGACATTATGGTCACTTTTAGTAACACCAGCATGGCCTTTATATTTCCAAAAAGGCAAAGGACAGGATGAAAAAAGAAATAAACTGCAAAGTACAGGGATAGGAGGTGCTGGGATGAGGGAGTGGTTTGGAGGCCAAGACCTTGAAACAGTTTTTTTTTTCTTTTCACAGCATGGAGTCACTAATGCCAGCTTCTGATGTGCAACTGAATCAAAGTCCCCAAGTCATCCTTACAAGGTGGGGTTTTGGGGAGGAGTCTTGAGAAGCAGACAATAAGGACGCATTGAGGACCCAGACAAGGTATAGTGGGGTGGGTAGCCTAAGGAAAGGAAGCTGAGAGGAATCCCTGGGTGCCATGAAAATACCAGGGCAAGTGGACACTGGGGTATTTAACCAGATTTGAAGCTGCAAGCATTCTCTCCAGCGGGTAAACCCTAGGACCAGGCAAAGATGCGCGACTCTCAGCCTCTGAACCCCAGACCTGGCAGCTTACCTCTCCCCTTCCCCAGGCAGCCACAGGCTCTGGCTGAGAAGCAAGGTAGGGGGAGGGATTGAGAGGGCCCTGCAAAGAAGCACAATAAACAACTCAAATATGAACGGAAATGACATCAGCAAAGTGAAGGACCTGTTTACTGCAGATCAAAACAAAACAAACTTCCAAACCTTTTGTGTACACAAGATAACTCTATAAAAAGCCTTCCTAAAATGTCAGCAGGGTCCACACATTAGCATCCAAAACACACACACACACACACACACACACACACACACACACACACACACACACGACAGTTACCATGGGGAAAGGGGAATGATGGGAAGATGATGGGGGGGAATCAAACTAGACTGGGCCAACAACCCAGTTGCTGCTGCTTCTCTCTGCTGAGCCTTAATATTTATTGGTGTTTATAATCTGAAAGCCATGCTCTGTGTTTCACTTAATACAAGGCCAGACAACATTGTCTAATGAGGCAGCATTACAATCAGCTTGTAATACTGAATTTTTAATGCTGCCAAGGATTCTGTTACATAATAATATGAAAAACAGAAGCTGAAAGTGGGGTTCCAGTGACAGGACCTTCTGAGAGCCACGAGATTCCTCTCTCTGCACCCACTCCCAGCTTCTGATTTGCAACCATCTCTGCATCCCCATACAGGTCGGTATGGAAATCAAGAGGCTTTCCTAGGAAATCCACACTTTTCATTATTATTATTATCATCATTATTATTATTATCATTATTATTACACTCTGATCCAAAGTTCTACTTCAAGAGTTTGAATTCTAGCTTGTCTGGGGTTAGAGGTCTAAAGTGAAAAAAAAAAAGAATTTCTTTTGAAAGGAGGAGGCCGAAAAGACAAAGAATACAGGAGAGGAAAGGGGATGGCTTATTTTGAGCTAACCAAGCAATCTGAGGGGGAAAATCTCAAAGGGAGAAAGAAATAAGGGGGTGGGGGCGGTGAAGACTGCAGACCATATTCATAGCTGCTTCACTCAGTTTACATTGGTGTAATTTAAAAAGCGTATATATAGCCGCCATTGCTCTTCTCTGTAATACCCCAAGACTGTAAATCTATAACCACTGCAATGATTTAGTGATTAAAAACATGATAACATATTGTGTAACTGCAAACCACAGAACCCCTGCCAACTCTCCTCTAAGATAAAGGGAGAAAAAATACAGAAAATGTGTTGCTTGCAGCGATCTTCCTAAACCCAAAAGATTGTAATAAAAAACCTATAGAGCAGACGATCGGAAAAGGGTAAGTGAATTGTGTGAAGCCAGCAAAGGGGAGGGAAAAAAAAGGCAGCTTTATGTGGGATTCTTTTCCTTGTACTAACAAATTACGACCTAAACATGCCTTTTCTTTTCTCTCTCTCTTTTTTTAAAGTTTGTTGTAACTGGAATAACTGGTCTTGTGCACTGTCTTGCATATTCAAAGCTGCTTTGTAATCGGATCTGTAGACCCAACCTTATTTGCCTGAACTCAATAGGGTTTTTTTTCTCCCCCTCCTCTCTTGTTTTGTTTTGGATTCTGTATTGTGGGTTTTCTGCTATAGCTGGGAACAGAGGTCTCTATAGGCAGAGGTTCTGGTGCCTTTAAGCTACTGAGCGAACACCTGAGAGGGGCAGGCACGATTTGTAACATGGCAGGAGGAGCCTAACACACACACACACACACACACACACACACACA